CTTGTTACTACTAGTAAGGCACCTGTTACTACTAGCGTGGCACTTGTTTCTACTAGCTTCTTGTTACTACGAAACTAAAACTTGTAACTTAGAAGTTGTGTACGTAGCATGTTGTGTAACTGCAGTGTGTGGCCACGTGTTGTCGCTGGGATCAAAAGCGTATCCTTCCCCAACTGTAGTCTTCCAGTCACATCTGAGATCTCCGGCCCCAATAGATGGAGAACTTCGGAGACCCAACGCTAACTCGTTCAAAGCCCGCGGTCCTCACCGACTCGGCCCAATTCCACTGAAAATTCATCGAAAAGCAAAGATCCTCTTGACCCATCGACAAACAAGCCTAAGAGCATCGAAGGATCTCTCCGAAAATTGATCATGTGAAGACCTAAAGGTATCCAGAGACATGAAAATGTTATGCATTCAAGCAAGGGCGTTCAATGGCTTTTGTAAAGAACCAGCAAAGCACAACGCCACGTGCTGTGAGACCGCAACAGTTCAAGGGTCTTGGGATGGAAGAGATATACAATAAAGAGCTGCTACAGCAAGAGCGAGTGCACGCCTGAAGGTGTTGACAACCGCGTTGTACCTGTACAAAAACAGCTCTGCGCTCCGCCAGGAAGAAGATGTTTAAGGTCGTTCGCACAACCACGCAAAACTTGCTGTCATACTACCGTCTCCTTCATGTTCAAAGGATTCAAAGCCTGCTCGGTCACCAGAAGAAAGTTGCAACTTCTTGAATGCCTTGGACTAACTAACAAGTGCCTTACTAGTAGTAACAACTACTAGTAACAAATGCCTTATTAGTCGTAGTATTCTTCATGGAGTCCGGTCTGCTTCCAGTTGCACTAAAGTGAGCCTGCTGTCTTGGTCACAACCATTCTGTGTGCGCACTCGTGGACATCCCGGGTCGTCTGCAAGCAGAAGAACATCCTTGGATACAAAGGCAAGCTTTGGGTCACTGAATCCATGCAAAGCCACTAGAGTCACTATACTTGGGAGGTTCTTGTGAATAAGCACGTGTCACTAAGATTGGCATCAAAAAATATGCAAAAAAAAACAAAATAGAACAACCATGATTCTGCGGCAAAGAAGAAATGCCCAATGCTTGCACTTCTTCTTCACCAAGAAGCCTGGATCGCGCGTATGAGCAAAAGGTCAGGAATCCTCCAGCTATACACAGTATACGTCATCAAAATGGTGATTGTGCAAAGACGCTTTAAGAAAGGCCAGGAAGCAGAATGTGTTCAAGGAGGAAGGATGCTACTAGGAACAAAGGGCATTGCTACTAGGAGCGAGGACGCTACTAGTGTCTCCTGGCCTTACTACTAGGAACAAGAAGCTATTAGTAACAAAGGGCATCTGATTCTAGTTTTCCAGTTCGGTCCAACCGAAGGCTACAGGGCCTGCTGCAGTCCCGTGGAGCAGCTTTAGAAAGCGGATCATAGTCAAAGAAGACCACTGGCCTTAGCAAAATGAAGGAACAAAGAACAACGCCATGCCAAAAACCTTAAGAAAAACACTATGTTACTATGTATGCAGCATGTGTTCGTCTCAACTTTCCAAGAAGACTTTGGTGCCTGCAAGTGTTGTGCCAAAGCTCGATACAGGGACATAGACTGAACAGCCACGAGCTTTCTGAGGCACGGCACGGCCTTTCAGCAAAGACCTGATTTCTTTTTCAAGCCTGCTCCAACCTAGTAGCGTCCTTGCTCCTAGTAGCGATGCCAGGAGCCCCTAGTAGCTTTTTGCTCCTAGTAGTAAGGCCAGGCTAGTAGCGTCCTTGCTCCTGCTCCCCCCTAGAAGAGATGGCCTCCAATAGCAACAAACTATATAATAAGCTACTCGTGACACTCATCGTGACTCTCACGTGACTCGTTTGATTCCTGATCGATGTTTTGATGAACCGATGAACCCGACAGACTTGGACTAACATGTCTTGTTGGGTCAAGGGGCAGAAGCTAACAAGGTGATTTCTCCAGGCGTGTTTCGACCTGAGCAGTTGAATCAACTGAGTTGACCGGAACAGTGCAGAAGTTTTGCCTGGTGGTACACACCGGTCTCAGCACTGGAAGAGAACCAACTCAGATCAGCTCTGGAGTTTGCCAAACCTTAGATTCGATGAATCAACTGCTTTGACCCTGGCAAGAGCCAGGTTTCTAACTCTCGTTTCTTGCCATTTTAGGTGGGACTACGTTGGGCCATATTGCTTTTCCCAAGGCTTAACCTCAGGTCGGCCGTTGCCTTTTCAGGTCTCTCGTTGCTTATTTTTCTTGTTGTAGGTAGCGTGGAAGCGTGGCCCCCATTGGTCAAATTCTATCCAATGCCAAGTACCTCAAGTAATGCCCTTGTTACTAGTAGCGGTGGCCTCCAACCTAATAGCGAGGCCTGCAACCTAGTAGCTTCTAGCTACTAGTAGTATGATGATTTAGTAAGTATCTCAAAAACTGAATCTGACCAAAGATACCAAAACCACTTTCATCGAGCTGACACTTCCATTGTGCTTTGTCCAACAAAACTGGGAGCGATCGAACCTCGAACCTCCCCTTTGCGTCGAATCGTGTGAAGCTGAGACAAAGACTTCCAAACCAGCTTGGAGCGATGCTTCTTGCAAGTCCCTCCTTCGATGTTAGACCATAGAGGCCCTAGAGGTGAGATAGGTTCGCTAGGTAGGTAGTTAGTAGAGGCTTGGGAGCCGCTAGTAGCTCAAGTAGCTACTAGTAACTGGACGCAGGATAGCTCACGCTTCTTCAAAAAAGCTCCCCAAAGGCGCTGGGGGCAGCTTCTTTGAAGAAGCGCTCGCACTATTCATTTGGTTCCTAGACGTTTAGAGAAACTTAACATATATATATATATATATAGTAAGTTCCAAAGTCTTTGCTGGGGACCGTGGCCTAGACCCAAGTTGGATGTAAAGACGGTAAGGTTGGCAATGGATAAAAAAAGTAATACAAATGTCAAGACAGTGAGCCAGAGCGCGCAAATTTTGCTGTTTTTTGACAATTCAGGGGATATCTAGGATCCTTTTTTAGCTTTGCCCAATGTCAAGACTGTCGGCGAAGGCCTTGAAACACACAGAGAACTGACCAAGCTAGTGTTTTTGTGTGCTCAATTTGTCGGGGGCATCAAGGATCCTCTACTAGCGTCTCATAATGTCAAGACTGTAGACGAAGAGCTACAGAAGTGTGTACTTCTGGGCGCTTCCTTTGCCGTTCTCACGAAGAACCTTTGCCACGCTTCCTTGCCGGCAACGCGGGGACCACACGCCCGGGCGGTGGGACCTTAATCACACGCAGCGCCCATTGGTCAAGACAGTGCTCCAGAAGAACACCCAACAACCTAAATGCATGCAAGCGTAAGAAACCAGCAACAAAACTTTCTCAGGCACGGCATCTGAACATTATACATCTTCTGCCAGGCCTGGCGTTCTACTTGTTCTCCCTGTTCCCTCGACCGGAAGCCGGTCCAGGCGTTTGCCAGGAACTTTGTAGTCCAGAAAGTTTTCGGCTTCTTTCATGCGAAGCAGTCTTGACACCTGAAACCTTCCATGGCAGCAAGCTCTGCTATGTGACCGCCACCCAAGACTGCTCATCCAAAGGCACCCTTCAGTGGCAAAAAGAGGCAGACTCACAAAGCTGCCCTGGCAACTGCACGCGCCAACGCTCTGCCCTGGTCCTGAACTCTTGCTTCCTTTAGCTTCGTGGGCTGATCGTCCTGATGCTATACGTCTGGCTGGCAGGACATTCCAAATTTCTCACACTTTTGTAGCAGGGTCACCCGAAAGTTTTTTTACCTTGAAGTCTTGACATCTGTTTGGCTTGTCCTCCTTCTTCTCTTGGCTGGTCCAAAGTCACGCCTCCAACGGAGGAGTCACCCAGAGACCTCTTCGTAGTTTAGTCTTGACATCTGAGACGGCGGTCGTCTGCGGTCATTTCAAGCAGAAACTTATTTGGTTGCAAAGTTTTGCACTCCACCTTCCTCTAAGCGATTCTCAGCGCAAAAAAGGGGCATGTTCACATGGGTCCTTCTTCTTGCCACCGCTCCTGCCAACCAACACAGGGGTCGAGCCAGGGACCCCGCGATGTAGGCCAAAAAAACAAATCTGAAAGAGGTTGCTCTAGACTTCTTGTAAAAAATCTGTACTATGCTGGCCCCAAAACAAATTTGTTGGAGCCGGCAAAGGGATGGATTGGCAATCGCTGGACTCAACACGATTTCTCAGCCAAGCCAAGCTTAGGGGGGGCCCAGGTTGGGGCCTGGTGGTAGCACGCCATGAGACCTCTAGAAAATGGCTGGCCCCAACCCTAACTGACAGCGCAATCCTTTTCTTTTTCCAGCACTGTCTTGGCAGCCACAGTCCAGTGGCGTCATTGGCCAATCCGAGCAACGCAACAAGCGCCAAAAGGCACTAGACTTGGATCTATACCCTTCCCAGTTGCAGAAACGTGAAGACAGAGCATGTTGCTAGCAGTGACCAACGCCTTCCCGCTGTCAATATGACAAAAAAACTCGAGAAAACTCTTCCAGATCCAGCTGCGCCCTTGCAGGTGGAAAACCAGACTTCCAATGCCAGATCAAATAATGAGAGAGGGCTGGGTAGATCGCGGACGGGTCCTGCCCGCGCTCCGCACCCGACCACCGCCCAAACCTCCATAACTGTCTGCGGGTCCAAAGACACCAGGGACTTGAGTGAGAGTGGCTCTACCTGATTGTTTGCCCCAGGCGCAACATGTTCGTCAACAACCAGCCTGGGCAATGCTATTCGGCATTCTTCTACCAGTTCTGGCATTCTACTTGTTCTCCCTGTTCACTCGGCCGGAAGCCGGTCCAGGTGTTTGCCTGGAATTATTCCCGGGGTTTGTCCAGAAAGGTTTCAGCTTCTTTCATGCGAAGCAGTCTTGACATCTAAAACCTCCCATGCTGCAAGCTTTGCTATGTGACCGCCGCCCAAGACTGCTCATCCAAAGACACCCTTCAGTGACAAAAGGAGGCAGACTCGCAAACCCGCCCTTGTAACTTGTAACTGCGCGCGCCAACGCCCAGCCTGCCCTGGTCCTGAACTTTTGCTTCCTTTAGCTTCGTGGGCTGGCTGTCCTGATGCTATACGCCTGGCTGGCAGGACATTCCAATCTTCTCAAAATTTTGTAGCCTACAAAGCAGGGTCACCCAAAAAGCTTTTCTACCTTAAAGTCTTGACATCTATTTGGCTCGTCCTCCTTCTTTTTGCCACCGCTCTGCCAACACAAAGGTCCAGCCAGGGGCCCTGCAACCAAATCTGAAAGATGTTGCTCCGAACTTCTTGTAGAAAGTCTGTGCTACACTGCCCCAAACAGAAATTCTTTGGAGCCTAGAAAGTGGGGCCGAGAAAGGCGTCTAACTTCACACCATGACAGCAGGCCCACCAGCCCCTGGTGTCCTCTTCCTTTGGCTCCGCCGCCTGATCTTTCCCATCCTGGGAAGGATATGCTGGAAAGCTGATGGTGTTTGCGGGCTTCGTGTGTTTATCTACTCACTAAAAAATTCCCTGTGGGTGGTCGATGCCAAGGGACCGCGGAGCGGATGTCAGGACAGCGCACTAGACACTAATCACCAACCTGGGATTGAAGAAGGTTTGGCAGGCATGTTGGATATACAACATTTTGTGTACAATCTTTTCTAAATTGGCGTGCAAAATCACGGAGGAGTGACCCAGAGACCTTTTCCCTTCTTTCATGTAGTCTTGACATCTGAGACGGCGGTCATTTGCGGTCGATTCAAGCAGAAACCATTTGGTTGCAAATTCGGCAGAGAGCCGAAGTGAGAGACTGGCACTCCACCTTGAGGAAACCAGATTGCCAATGCCAGATCAACGAAATGAATGAGAGAGGGCTGGGTGGATCACGGACGGGCCCCGCATGCTCTCCGCACGCGCCCTGCACGCGCTCCGCGCGCGACCGCCGCCCAAACCTCCATAAGTGTCAAGACTGCTCGTCCAAAGACCCCCAGTGACGGAAGTGAGAGTCGCCCTACATGATTCTTTGCGCCAAGAAAACATCTTCACAAGGGCCCCGTCAACAACCAGCCTGGGTAGTGCTATTCGGCTGGCGCTTCTTCTCATTTTATTGGCATGCATCCTGCCAACACAGAGGTTTAGCCCCGCACCGTGCTGCCCGTGCTATGTGGGCTTGACCAAATGAAAGATGTATAACTCCTAACTCCTTGTCGCAAGTCTGTGCTAAATTTGCCCGAAAAACAATCATTTTTGGAGCTTACAGGGAGGGTTCCAGAAAGGTATCCAACGTCTTTTATGCGATGCTGTCTTGACATCTGAAGCCTATCATGACAGCAAGCTTTGTTTCAATCCACAACTCCCAAGAAGAAATCGTTTGTATATCGCTTATATATATATAAACACAATGAAAAGCAGAAATCTCATGGCGTGCCATCATCAGGCCCCAACCTGGTCCCCCCAAAGCTTGGCTTGGCTGAGAAACCGTGCTCAGTCCAGCGATTGCCAATCCATCCCTTTGCTGGCTCCAAAAAATTTGTTTTGGGGCCAGCATAGTACAGACTTTAGAACCTACGAAGAACTGTGGCTGTGTGTACTTCAGCGCTTCCTTGGCTGGCAAGGCGGGGACACGCGCCCGCATTGGTCAAGACAGTGCTCTACTTGGAGGGTCAGCCTGGTTAGTAAGTATATATGGCACTTACTAAATATTTAACCAAACTGTAAACGTTTAGGGCACTTAGCCTAAGTCACTTAGTGCAAATAGTTTTGAAGGTGCTTAAGGCACTTAGCACACTTACCTAAACGCACTTAAGGCACTTAGTTTAAGTAATGTAATTACACTTAAGGCACTTAAGGCTAAGTATCCTAAGTGGGTTAGGTAAGTCTACTAAGTGGCCTAAATCTGCACATACCTTTTGTTTTTTCACTAGTTTCCATTAGAAAAATGATAACAATTTTTCATATCATCACATGTAAAAAATATAGAGAACAATTTTTGGCAATCATTGCCAGCGCTTTGTCCATGTGAGCAATGGAACCATGAGCACTGCAGAAAATCAACATGCCTTGAAGAACTATAACATTGAACAAAAATCGGGAACGGTCACATGTATATCTTGCTATCCAACTTCCTTTGATAATACTGGATGATTGTGAAAGGCTTTCTGTAAAGCATGGAACGTGCATCCTCTGCGCATACATGGACGATGCGTTTATCGCGCAGCCCCTCCCCGCTGCGCGCGGTGGCGCCCGCCAACAATCTGCAAGCAGCGCCTCCCCGCATCTATATACATGGACCTGCGAGCGTGTATAGCCCCAGCGAGGTCTCCACATGCGGGCTGAGCCACGCATGGGCCACATGTTGCAACCAGCCTATATATCAGAACGACTTAAGGCGTGGACAGCGGCTTGCCATCGTGTTGCCTCACTTGCAACATCAACTGCAGCACGGCGCATGCGCCTGAATCCGTACCTGCAAGCAAAGAAATTCATGGATATGTGGCGTGGCTTGCTCGCCCACATATGTATACCGTTTCCATGGAAGCACTGTCAAAAGCTCGCTGGCACCACCGCCTTTTTTTGCAGATCCTGCAGGAGTGGTTGTCAAAACTGGACCATTGTGTTTGATACATGGCTTATGTACCAAGGTCTCTCAACGGGCTCGGCCCAAGAATCTGTCAGCCATTCATGTCAGGGAACCTTCAAAGTTGCTGCCATATCTGCGGTTGGCTGGGAATCACATTCTTCCTTGGCACCACGCATTGCCAAGGTTGGAGCTTTGTTGATATCCAGGTTGGGCTCTGAATCGACCTTTGCCGTTTCAGCGAAGTGATCGCTCCACTGTGAGCCTGCAGAATTCGTGGTTGTGAGGTGACCTGTTTTCGGCCGTTTGGCGCACTTTGAGTCTTCCTCATCAAGACGGGGATCCTCACGGCTATCACGGATTTGTGTCAGAACTTTCTCGACCCTGGCCAAATTCCGAGTGGCTATGCTGACTTCTATTTTCACCTCGATAAGGGTACTCCATGCTTCAGCCAGCAGGTCCCGGCTCATGGCTGCGAAATACCGTTTTGCGGCTTGAACAACTCGAGGCTTCGAGCCCACATATAGACGCACCTGCAGGCTGCATGCGCTCCATGATTGCAATGCATTTTGTTAACTTCCAGCTAGATCAGCCTGGCTATATAAAGCTTCAGCCTGCAGGGCATACACTCCCTCAGTCTCCAGCCTTGCAAGAGTAATTTGAATGCCAAGCCCAAACTTGAAGCGCGCGAGCATGTGCCCTGCAACAGGAAGCAGAACAATTTTGTATTCAGTTGCAGTCAATCATGCTTTTGGGCAAACTGTGTTGCAAACAAGTCAGGCGCATGCAGGTCTTCAGGTTTTTTCCAGTAGGTCATTGGAGCAACTGTTTGGCTCAGGTGGCCGCAACCTCTTTGATGTAGCTAAAGAAGTGCTTCCACAAATTACACTCCGGTAGCCAGAATTGGTCCCATGTTTATGGGACCCACCAACTAGATTCCATAGATTCAAGCCAAAATCAGAGGCTCACTAAGTCAGTGTCCTCCTTGAAGATTCCATGGCCATCAGCCAAGCCCTCACTTCATCCACCGTCGCATTAGCCAGGACTCTTATTGCAAACCAGAAGCGTCCACATGTCGACACCTTAGCAGCAATCCGTGGGACGAAGCCAAGAAAAAATAGGACGCGGCCAATTCAAACAATGAAAAACAGTTCACACAAACCAAGTTTACAAACCAAGCCAAAGTGCCCACGAGAAGCTCCCTGGGGAGGTTTGCCGGAAGTCTACGTTCAACCTGCAGTGTGGAGGCATCGCCGGACAGCACGCGAAGTCCCGCAAACTCCACGTCGGTGTTGGCCGTGGGGTGTAATGCCAAACACCTTGCTGCTCTAGGTGGAGGTTCTTGTTCCTTGGTACACATCCAATGCAAGAGGAAGACATCTGATGGCTACATAAAGTTAGAAAAATGAAAACAAGTAACACTCGTGCATGCGACATCACTTTGGGCAATTCAAGTTTGAAGCCAAGAAGCTTCTGCGTCTTGCGGAAAAACCATACCCTGCCAGTTTCGTCATAACAAATCCACTCGGCAGAGCGCCCAGGGTCAGGCAGATGCTGGTATTTGCAAACCATCCATTTTAACCTCATCGGGGCAGCGGACTGCGGAGTATGAAGGGGCTGCATCGGAGCAACGGGCTGCAGGATGCAACACGAAAAACCAGCAGCAGTTTATGTTTGTATCACAATGTCTTGCAGTTAGGTAGGTAGGTGGTAAGTAGGTATGTAAAGAGTTCAAGGTAGGTAAATCTTTCTAGATCTAAGCATCTTTCTATTCATGGATTTGCTGAAGCTTGAATTTGAAATTTATTGAACATAGATATCTGATGTCTCTGCCACTGGTGTGTTGCCGGCCAAGGGAGCCTGGAAAATTTGAGCCAAACAAGGCACCAAAGATCAGTGTCAAGTAAAGTCAAGTTGAGAGAGACATGCTGGCACCATGTTGGCAAAGAATCTAGTCGAGGCTTCTGCATACATACTCGCACCTGCAGGCTCCATGGCTATAATAGCTTCAGCGGAGTACACTCCCTCAGTCTCCAGCCTTGTGACATTGAAGCGCGCGAGCGTATGCCCTGCATTCCTGCATTTCAGCTTTGATTTCAGCTTTGATTTCACAAAGCAAGGACAATGGTTCTATGAGTATAGGTCATTTGTGGACGACATGCCGACAGAACAAACACCGAATCAAATCTAGACTATAGTATAATAGCCTTGAAATGAGAAAAGCAACAGCATGAACTGACGAAGTATGCGTCAAGTCAGCATGACACAAACTGGTAAATTGGGCTGCTGAGAAATTGAAAGCTTGACCATGAGTCTTTTGTTCCACCCTCTGCACGCTGCACGCTGGAATATCACTCATTCAAACATTTAGGGTAAAAACTTTGTGGTGACACCAAAATTTCATCAGTGCTTAGCTTCTTGTAAATTACAGCGCCAAGCATGCATTCAGTCTGCGCAAAGATTTCGTCACCGCTGGGCCGAAACCTGTTGGGTCCAACTTTGTTGAACAAACGGGCATAAGTAAGATGGTGTTCCTCATACCTCACATGGAACAGAACCTTGGCCAGTGCAACTGGCTCACTCAAGGAAACCACATCGTCAGTTCGGCATCGATCTGCTGTGGCTGAAACAAGAAGGGCGGAGGTCAAGAATGGGAAACCCACATGAACCCTGAATGCTTCAGCCAACTCCTTGCTGGCAGGTTTGAAAACGTCTGAGGCTGTCTCATTCAAATCATGGATGTGCGTCAGGAGAACCTCACGCAAGACTGAGCGTTCCATCGATGCATGCCCAGAGTGTTGTTGGTCTGCCCACCTTCGCAGAACATGGATGTTGTGTGACATGTTACGAGGAACAAATCGTAGTAAATCAACTCTACACACAGCCACAAGTAGCGTTCAAAAGCACACTAGCAAAGTAAAGCGGCCTTTTCATGATTTTGTGCCGCCGTTCGTGCACGAAACATGTGCAAAGAAGCCCGTGTTTCTGGAGTTGCCATCCTAAATGGAGAGCAAAATGGTGCTTTGGCAAAAAGTGAGACTCGCCGTAGCAAGCCTGGCATGACAGAAGAAACACAAAAGAAGCAGCGTTCAATCTGCACATGATACATCCGTGTTCAAACAAAACATGTAGGCAAGGAGCGACAAAGTTTCTCAGGTGTGATTCAACTTTGTCTTGGAAATCTTTGGCATCAATTGCTCCAGTTGCAGTCAGCTTCAAGCTGTCCAGAATTTCGCACAAGCTGTAGTAAGACTTGATTGCAAGATGCAACTCATTAGTGGGCGTCTGAACCGTGTGATGCAAAAATGACCGCACGACAGGATATACAGCAAGCGCATCGGACGAAGTGCACTTGAACTCTTGATCACTTTCTTTCTTCTTCTTAAAGACCAATCTTGCACTGCAGCTGGCACCACCATGGATGTCAGGCCATATGAAAGCCATGGTCCAGTCATGAAGCATTGACTGTTTGAAACCATCATCGGCCAATCGACCCAACAGTAGGGTCATTTCTCTGTGCCAAACCCCACTCACGAGAAACACGTGCATCGGGTCGTAGGCTACCATTGAAATAGGTCTGACCCACTGACGGAGGCCAACATCCAAAAGGAGTCCCGCAGGGCAGTGATTAAAGCCGAACTTCATTTCCAATTCTGACAAATGTTTTTTGGTCGTGCCACGTGTGGATTCGGCGTTCAAATAATCAATGATCTGCCACACTGAATTGTCCGAATGCAGGCAGAGCTGCGATGCATCAGTGACAGTATGCAACACCAATTGGCCCAAATTGGCAGGGCGGTATCTTGCGTTCACAGTAGTCTGGCAGAAAAGGCACAACATTTTGCCGCTTGCCCCTTTGTTCTCCACGACCTGTTTCAAAGCGGCTTCGTCCGCCAGGATGTAACTCAGAACGAAGCACATGATGCGATCTTCACCATGGACTTGGACGGATATACCAGTGGACATGTTGCCAGATGTTTTCAAAAAAGCTTTGACGCAATGCCTGAAGAACTGGCTCATGCCATCTTGCAACTTGTTCACAAGATCCGTGCGGATGCACGTGAGCACTGACCATGCGTGCTCTTGCGTTAGCTCAAAGCCTCCATATTCTTGCACTGAGAAGTACACTGATTGTAATTTTCTTCGATTGTGTACCTTTAGTTGGTTCCCTGGAGAGATTTCGTCACAATATAAAATTATTCGCCATGGTCGGTTGATGTTGTTCACAGTCTGTGAAGCCTGATTCAGAAGGCGCATCATCCGTGGGCAGGTTCGTGAAGTATGATACATCCATGCAGCAGGATTGCACATTGGAACTCTGATCTGCCCACCATCCACTGTATCCAACTCCAAGGTTTCAATCATAGGGCCATACGGTGTTTCAACCTGAGATATGGCGTCCTCTCTTCGGCGCTTCACAGTGGATTTAGAGGTGTGCAGCGGTATCTCCCCAGAATTCTTGATGGCCGTCAGCACCTCTGCTAAAGCAGATTGAGAAATAAAGCTTTTCCTGCCAAGCTTCGAAATGTCGAGCGCCATGGCGATATATAGATTTCAAAGGCGAGCCGCGTATTTGCCCTGCCCTTGCAGCACGCGAGCGATGACGCCCGCAGTGCTGTGACTGAGACGGTGTACTAATGCTGTGTGTAAACATGATATATGAATGTACCACAATCATTATGAAAAATGATGCATCCACGCATGCAGCTGAAAACGAAAACAAACCCAGCGTCTGCAGAGCGACATGTGTTTTGCACTGGTATAAAATGACTGGGTGCATCAGCCTGAATCCTGAACATTAAGGCATGCAATCACTGTATATATAAATATATACACTTGAAGTTTCACAAGCATATCCTACAAACACAAACAAATGCTATGACGACCATTGCAGGGTATAACAACCATTGCAGAACTTCAAGCTCGACATTGTTTCACGCCATCTCCACGACACGGCACTTAGCCATGGTTCACCGAGAAAACTATGAGCAGGCAAGTCAGGAAAGTCAGGGTTCACCGGCCGGGAAAACCAGCAGCGACAGCTTCAGCCTGAATCCCACCCTCCCTTGCACTTGATAATCTGGCGCTGCTTAACCGCCTTCGACTTGCCCTTGCCAGAAGGCTTCGATCCGCCTTCCTGCAGGCCTCTTCATTGGCCCAGGAATCTTAGGAGTGGTTTCCAGCAACACCGCTGCCTCTGGCTGGTTCACCTCGAGCATGGCCTTGTTGGGAGACATTTCCCCTTCATGCCCATTTTCCTTTGTAGAGCTCTGAGGGCCAGGTTGCTTGTCCTCAATGGCCTGCAACGGTGCTGCTGCAGGAGCTGCAGCGTGAGCACTTGATGCATGAGTGGCAGGATCAGGCATCAACATCTTGACCTTTGGTGCCGCCGCAGGACGAAAATTGCCCAAACCCACACCAGGGCCACGAGCATCTGGGTTACTGCCTGAGTGCCACATCATTTGGTTCATTTGCTGCGTCAGCATCATCATCATATTTTGCATTGCTGGCTGGGCATCTTGCTGAAACTCCACCATAGGTAACGCCTTCGGGTTCATGGGACCACTGAGCTTGCGTTGCTTCACCTCACGCTTGCTACCACGCAAACTCACATCCTGCTGGATCACACTGTCTTCATCCAGCCTCACTGGCTGGTCTTCATCTCCGTAGGACTCAGCGAAGCGCTCCAACTCACAAGGGTCGACTGGAAAAACCGCCTTGGTAATAGTGATGCCTTTTGACATCTTTGCCAGCATGCTTTTCAATTGTCGTTTGTACTCTACACTGGCCGTGGAATCTGCCACGTCTAGCCCTGCAACTTGGGCCGCTTGGAGAATGCGTCCCCATACATGCTCTTTCGGCAAGATGAGGCCCACTGACTTCATTCGCCTTGCAATACCTTGGTTGGCTGACGTTGCATGATGATGAGTAAGCAGAAACATCAACCACCAGTATGCACACATCTGATTTGTGAACATCATGTCATGTACACGCTGACACTAGTGCAGTGAAAGCACAATCCAGCTTGACAGCCAGGGGTGCATCTTTGTCGCTCAAGCACTTCACATCCTTTTCGCTAAAGTAGTTCGCAAAGCTTTCAATGCTTTGGTTTTCTCGTTTCGCACCCTTCCTGCTGCCTGGGCTGGAATTCATCAAAACCTCAT